ACATGAAGGTTTGGGATGGTGAAAAAGTTCTAATATTCTCAGATAACATGAAGCTCACTTTTTAGGTTACTTTTGAAGGCTGTTCCAAAAAAAACAGCAAAATGGAATGAACCAACACATTTGCTTAAAAAGATCATACACAGCATGGTAGAGCTTTCTGAGTGCTTCACTTCACAATGGGGATCCACTGACTTCCAAATGAAGTTGAAAAGTTCATATAACACTGATACTTTGTTCCTCATGTTTAGACAGCTTTTTTGTCTGCAATTTCAGAAACATCATCAATTAGAGTAGGCCCACATATTATTTTCAAAAGTAGTATCACCCAGTTTCCCTTTTGGGAGGGAAGAATGGTCCCCAAATACTAAACTGAACCCTGTAATGTGGAGTGACCACACAGAAAACACAGCCAAAGGATTCAGGAAATGATACAAATCTTCTTAGTCTAATAGTTATTTTGGGGGTGCCTGGGTGGCTCAGTCAGTTAAGCATCCCACTCTTGATTTTGGTTCATGTCATGATATCAGGGTCATGAGATAGAGCCTTGAGTAGGGTTCTGTGCTCAGCGCACAGTCAGCTTGAGATTCTCTCTCCTCCCTCCGCCCCTCCCCCTGCTCGTGTTGTCTCTCTCAGATAAATAAAATCTTTAAAAGTAGTTTTTTTCCCCTTCAAACTGGAAATTTTTCCAGAATGACTAAAAAGTAAAGTTAGCAAAATATCTAAAGGAACTGACCCTTACATATTGATAATTAAAACTTTGCTGGTGATTAAATTAAGATATTTCAGAAACCTCATAGGCTTTCTCCATTTTAAAGAGTACTAACTTCATGTATCGTTGAAATATTGCTGGCCTTATTTTAAAAACAGCTACAAAAATTGCTACTGTCTATTGCGTGTTGTATGCAGTGCTCTGTGTTTCATTTATTTCATAATCTTATAAAGTAGGAATTTTAACCCATTTTAAAGATGAAGAAAGAGTCTTGTCTAAGTCTACCAGTTACTAATCGACAAGCCAAGATTCAAATCCAGGACTGTCAGATTCCAAATCCAAATTTTTACAACTATGCTATTATTTAAATAAATAGATAAAAAATGAAGTGTAAGAAGACAATTAAGACTTGTAGTTTCCTACTCTTCAAATTCAATGTAAAGATGTGCTTTTCCTTACTACTCCCTTACTCCAAAACTTTCACTGGGGCCTATGCACTGCCTAGGAAGTCTGTTTTCCCTGAGCCAACTCATCCATCCCTCAGGTCCCATTTTAATTGCTATTTCCTTAAAAGACTTATTTTGAGCTTCTCATATAAATTAGGCCATCTGTTATTATTCCTTCAAAGTATCCTTCTTATTCTTTCAGGCTGTTTTCATATTCTGTGTGTTGATTTGTTCCACTGGGCCAGGGACCATGTGTGATATGTTCACCCCACTCCTAGACCTGCACATCCAGAGACTAGAATTGTATCTGTCAAATACACATGCTCTTTTGTTAAACACATACATGGAATGAAAGAAATTAAGCCACACAGTCAAGGACTTCCATAATTTGATTCTACTATATCTTTTCAATCACATTTTGCCACTTTGGGTTAATTTACAGTTTCATGTGGAGGTCTTTGGCTCTCTCTCTGAGACTATAAATCCCACCCAGCCTTCAATGTTCAGCTCAAACCCACCTCCCTTAAAGGCCCTGGCCTAGACATACAAAGCCTTCCTCCTACGCCTAACACGCTCACATAGCATTTGCTCACCATGCTGCCAGTCCAGCCTTTATCACAACCTGCTTTGCACGGTTAATTTACTGTTCATGCAGGTGGGTCTTACGTCTGCATCTAGAGCTACACTGTGCAATACAGTGGTCACTGGGCATATATGGCCACTATGTATAAATAAATTAACATTAAATAAAATTTAAAATTCAGTTCCCCATTCACATTAGCCCCATTTCAAGTATTTAATAGTTACATATGGCTAGTGACTACCATACTAGACAGCACAGACAGGACAATTCCACCATCACAGATATTTCTGTGCCTTGAGTATAAAAACTATATTTTATACTCCCCATTCCATACTGTGAGGATAGTACCTATAACATCTCATAAACAGTGAGAGTTCAATAAATATTTTAAGCAGTAATAAAAAAATAACTTGGTGAGCAAGAGACCTTTGACATGACCCTAATTACACCGTAAGCAGCTGTCTTCCACATTAGCACAGGTCTATTTATTAAGCTATTGCTAGTCCCTGAGTCAAGCCTTCAGCTGTTTTTCCAATGGTATTCTCCAAGAGTCAACCATACAAAAATTTGTATGGTATTTTTCAATTTATAAAGTACTTCACATTCATCATGCAGTTGGCCAAAATGGTTTTCTGAGGAATACAGAAATTCAGGTTAAATCTAATATTTAGCTAGTGGCAGCTAAGGGCCAGACACTGGGCGAGCTGATTTCCCTGTGTCTCGTCAACCTCACTAGATCAAAAGGAAAATGAGTTGACAGAGGGTAACCTATCCACATCTACCAGTAACAAAATCCACATCTTAACCAATATATGTTCAACTCCTCCTGGCTAGGCATTTTTACAGAAACAAGGTCAATATGTTTAATGGAGTAGATATTGTCTAATAAAATTACAATCTGTCTTGTATTTGAAGAAAAAAGGAGAACTAAAAGTAAAGAATGAAAAACTTTTTCCTATAATACGGGAAAGTGTAATTAGGTAACTAACTTTTGAGATAAACAATGGCTTTTTTTTTCTTTTAGCCAGAAATAGAGCCAATTTATTTCGGAAGTAAGAGGGCTAGATTAGGGGAAGAAGTACAGGCAATTTTAAAAAATCCAAACTGTAAGACATTTTTAAAGATGCTGTGTAGTAATATTATCGAAGATATCGTTATTGTAGGAAACATATACTAAAATATGGCTGAAAATTAATATTAAACAACGAGTTAAGCTATTTAAATTCTTCGGACCTTTATTATGTATCATCATTTCAAATTATTTCAAACGCTCAACTTATTTCAAACTTTTAAATCTTGAATGACCCAAATGTTTATTAATAATTTTAAATTATGCACTGACAGCATATTAGTGAGCTTTCACCATTAAAAATATGATTGGGGGCATTAAAGTCCTTTATGAGTTTCAATAAATATGATCCAGAAAAGCTGAGATGTGTTCCAAACTGCGCTCTCAACCCACCAAACCAGTGAACACTCAATCTGTTTCTTCAAATATAAAACACTGATTTTTTTAAAGAATTATTTATTTGAGAGAGAGAGAGAAAATGGGGGGAGGGGCAGAATAGAGAGAGCGAGGGGAAGTAGACTGCCTGCTGAGCAGGGAGCCTGATGCAGGAGCAGGGCTGGATCTCAGGACCCCGAGATCATAACCTGAGCTGAAACCTAAGAGTCAGACACTTAATGGGCTGAGCCACCCAGGTGCCCCTGATGTGTGTTTTCAATCTACCTCAAAGAGAAACTACGATTACTGTACTTATTAGGCTTCTTTCTAATCTCTGCTATAATTTCTTCACGAAAACAACATCAGTGATGAGAAAATAGGCTGTTCACTTATACAACTTTTTTTTTGAGGTTGTCTCTTACACTAAAGCTCTCATTCTCAAAAAGGGACTGAAACACTGATATACAAGGCATCAAAGCATTCTTTAAAAGACCCAGTATCCACTATGGTTACTGCCAGGAAATCATTCCAAACACTCATTTAAAAAAAAGGCAGCAGTCACAAGGGGAAAGGAAGTGGACACTGTCAGAGGTGGCAGGTGTGTTTTGAGGCCAGCCACACTTTGCTTTTAATGAGGCACTATTACAGGTCTCCAATTGTGTGCCACCAGGGAGCAAGACATCTGAGGGCTTCTTAATTTTTATAAGCATCGCTTTGAAGGAAAAGAACACTTCATTTAGATGTAGGTTTGGTGCCTATGGTTTAAAATGCGTAAAGGGCATAATTCATGTGTTCCAGTTTAAAAAATAAAATATTAAAAGAAACCTTCACGAATAATTAGAAAAAGTTGAAAATAATGTAAAACTGGATTCCAGGTATCTTTCTTTTTGGGGGGCGGAGAAGAGAGGAAGGGTAACTAAACACTCTTGCTTCTCCCTCCTCTTTTGTACACTGTAGACAGATATTCTAGTAGCTTCCTTTTTCACTCGTTAAAGCAGAAGTGTCAGGAAGACTACAGTCTCTTCTGGCATCTTCCCGGAGTACTCCAAGTACCATGAAAACGAAGGAGGGAGCGAGACGCGTGTCAGTCCTGTGGTCCCCTACTTAGAGAGAGCAGCAGTGTCTGGATAGGAAAAGAGTTAAAATGTTTCCTGTAACTATGAATCAGCTAATGGCTAAAAAGTGTCAAGGTTTCATGGGCTTCACACCAGACCCCATCCTATGCCTACAGAAACTACACTCTCGAGAATGCTCTGTTCACCTTCAAAACAGCGTTTCATCGAAGTCCCTCCACAATCTTGGGACAAGTGAGGAGAGAGTCAAAAGCAGCCTCAAACTACCTCTGGCTAGTAAACTGGCCCACGGAAGATCTGATCATCGGTGATCTACCCCCCCACACCACTTACCACCGGTCCGGGATGAACCTCAAGAGTTGTGTTTACAAAGCATCTACAGACCCACACCGTGCGTGCCCGTGTGCCTTACACGGATGTAGGATGGGGACACACGCGTGAAGTCCTTCGAGTTGCGTGAAGTCCCAGGGAAGGGGTGGGAGGGAGAGCGAAAAAAGTCGCTCCGTTGTGATTTTCCGAGGTCACTTCTAGGGACTCACCCGCGGGCGCGTTCCGGTAGCGGAAAGCGGGCCCTGAGGCGATCGACGACAGTCGGGCCCCGGACCTCGATCGGTCCCCTCCGGCGAGGGGCGCGCGGGCCGGGACGTGCCCCCAGAGGTCGGCTCGAGGCTCGACCCCGCCCCTGCCCACCCCCGACGACCCCCACAGGCGGTGGAGGCGGCCACGCCGCCGGTGCGCGACTCACATGTGCGGATTCCTCCTGAAGGCGTTGGTGATGTCCTTCACCACCCGCTGCACCAGCACGGCCACCTCCTCGCTCGTCTCGGCCATGTTGGCGGCGGCCGCGGCGGCTCGGGCGCGCCTCCGGGAGAGCGCCGGGCGGCCGGCGGGAGTTCCGCGG